GACATTAGACGGTGAGTCAAAGCTATAGGAAGAAATAAGAACAATGGTAATGGCAAGTATATAAGTAAATGTTAAGGTCAATGTGATTGTATTTTGGGTTTATAACTCCTCCTTTTTTCTATATGAAAACATAAATGCACGATGTAATAATTGCAAATCTGTGTTAATGGTGTAATGGGTGACAATAACAGTATAAAGAGAGGAGAAGACGTATAGGAGCAGAGTGTGCACAATTGTAACTCAGTTGCTGTTATTCATACTAAGTTGTTATAAATGTAAGGTTTTCATCATAACCGCCAAAGTAACCACTAAGATAGTAACTGAAAATATATATAGAAAAGGACAGAAAGGAACCAAAATTGTACATTACCGAATTCAATTAAATACAAACAAGAGAGCAGTAGAGGAATTGAGGAAAAAGACATATAAGACATAAAAAAAGCAAACACTAAATGGCAGAAGAAAGTCCTTCCTTATCAGTAATTATATTAAATGTAAATAGATAAAACTCTCCAATTAGTAGGCAGAGATTATTTTAAAATGTATAAAAATAATCCATCTATATGTTGTCTACAAGAAACTCATTTTAGATATAAAACACAGAGAAGTTGAAAGCAAAGGATGAAAGAAGATATTCCATGAAAATAGTAACCTGAAGAGGGCTGGGCAGCTATATTATTGTTAGACAAAATACACTCTAAGTCAAAAGATTACAAGAGGAAAAGAACATTAAATATTGATAAAAGGGTCAACCCATCCAGAAGATATAACTATTATTTGTTTATTTTTATTTTGTTGTTGTTGTTTTTAAAGATTTTATTTATTTATTTGACAGAGAGAGAGACAGTGAGAGAGGGAACACAAGCAGGGGGAGTGGGAGAGGGAGAAGCAGGCTCTCCGCTGAGCAGGGCGCCTGATGCGGGGCTCGATCTCAAGACCCCGGGATCATGACCTTAGCAGAAAGCAGATGCTTAACGACTGAGCCACCCAGGTGCCCCAAAAAGGGGCACTATTATAAACATATACACATATAATGTTTATAACTATTATAAACATATACACACTTAACAACAGAGCCCAAAAATATATCAAAATTTAACAAAATTGGATAGCAAAGTAGATCTACTATAATAGAGAAGTCAATACCCTACCTTCAATAATAGATAGAACTAGACAGAAGATCAATCAATAAAGATATGGAGCACTTGAACAACACTATAAACCAAATGTAGACCTTACAGACATTCAGAAAACTCCACTGAACAATAGTGGAATATACATTTTTCTCAAGTGTATCTGGAATATTCTTCAAGATGCATTAGGCCACAAAACACAAGTCTTATTAAATTTAATAAGTTTTAAAAAATTCAAGCCATACAAAATGTATTTTCTGATCACAATGGAATGAAACTAGAAATTGACAGAAAATTGGAAAATTCACAAATATGTGGTAGCTGAACAACATTTCTTAAACAATCACTGAATCAAAGGAGAAATCACAAGGGAATTTAAGAAATGCCTTCAGACAAATGAAAACAAAAGCAAAACATACCACACTTATAGGATGCAGTGAAAGCAGTGTAAAGAGGGAAATTTATATATCTTCAAAAAGAAGAAAGATCCCCAATTGATAATCTAATCATGTAAGTTAAGGAACTAGAAGATGCAGAGCAAATTAATCCAAAGCTAGCAGAAAAAAGGAGATAATAAAGATTAGAATAAAGATAAATAAAACACAGAGTAGAAAGTTATGTAGAAAATCAACAAAACCAAAAGTCGATTTTTGAAATAATCAACAAGATTGTGAATCCTTTAGTTAGACTGACTAAGAAAAAAAAGGTGAAGATTCAAATTACTAAAAATCTTAAACAAAAATGGGAATATTACTACTGATTATAGAGAATTAAAAGGATTATAAGAGAATACTATGAAAAACTATAAGTTAACAAATTGGATAACCTGGATGAAATGGGCAGATTCCCAGAAACACACAACCTACCAAGACTGAATCATGAATAGAAAGTCTGAATAGACAAATAAATAGTAAGTAAACTAATTCAGTAATCAAAAACCACCCAACAAAGAAAACCCCTGGAACAGATGGTTTCACTGAATTCTACCAAACATTTAAAGAACTAATATCAATCCTTTCCAAACTTTTCCAAAAAAATGAAGCGGGGGAAACACTTCCTAACTCATTCTATGAGGCCAGCATTTCCCTGATAACAGAGCCAGAAGACACTACAAGAAAAGAAAACTAAGACTGATATCTCTTATGAATATTGATGTAAAAATCTTCAATGAAATACTAGCAAACTGAATTCAGCAGCATATTAAGAGGATTACACACCATGACCATGTGAGATTTATTTCTGGAATGCAAGGATGGTTCAATTTATGAAAGGTAATCAAATATGCCACATTAAAGAAAAATGAAAATAAATCCCACATGATGATCTCAATTGATGCCAAAAAAAGCATTTGATAAAATTTAGCACTTTCCTGATTAAAAAAAACACTCAGCAAACTAGTAATAGAAAAAAACCTACCTCAACATAATAAAAACCATATATGAAAACCCCACACTTAATGTCCAACTCAACGGTAAAAAGACTGAAAATTTTCCCACTGAGATCAGGAACAAGGCAAGGATGCCTGCTTTTGCAACTTGTATTCAACCTAGTACTAGAAGTTCTATCCAGAGCAATTACAAACCCCTAAGAATCACACACACACACACACACACACACACACACACACACACACTCACACACACAAGCAAAGAAAAGGCCAGGACCAGATGGCTTCACTGGTGAATTCTACCAAACATTTAAAAAAATTAACACCAGTCCTCATCAAAGTTCCCAAAAAATTGAAAAGAAGGGAACGCTTCCAAGCTCATTTTATGAGGTCATGATTACCCTGATAGCAAAGCCAAAAAAAGACACTACAAGACAAGAAAACTTCAGGTCAATACCCCTTATGAATATAGATTCCAAAATCCTCGACAAAATACTATCAAAATAAATTCGGCAGCATATTAAAAGGATTATGTGTCATGACTAGGTGGGATTTGTGCTCACAATGCCAGGGTGCTTCATAATAAGAAACTCAATCAATGTAACGCATCACATTAGTAGAATGAAGGCAGAATGGAGAATGGAGAATGGCTTGGGTGAAATGGCCATACCACCTCCAATTCAACTCCTTCACCTTCTCATTCCTCGACTCGACAGTAATCTGGCATGTGTTCCTCCACAGAAACAGTTCTGCATAAAACGAAACAGCACTAAAACCTAAAGTTACTTCTTCCTTCTCACCTGGTCACAACCATCTGCAGCACTGGCACCACTGACTGGTCTATACCTCTTGAGCTGGAATCATCCCCTGGCTTCCATGACACCGCTGACTTTGTCCTCTCTGTCTGGGTCACAGGCACTAAATATTTACTTGATCATTAAATACTGAGTATCTTAACACTCAGGCCAATGCCCTCTTCACTTCTTCCACATTGCCTTCCATTCAGATGATTGTCTTCAGTTACCACCGATACATCAGTGACACCCAAACATACTTTGTGCCCAGGCCTCACCCCTCTGGATCTCAGACCCAGATGTAGAAGTGCCTAAGTGGAGGGAGGCCTCAAAGGCATCTCAAACTGAACCTGACCAAGGCCGAACCCATGGTCTCCCTCCAAGGCCTAGTCCAGTCCCATCTAGTGTCAGTAAAAGAAACCCAGAGTCGTTGTTGGCCCTCCCAACAACTTGGTCTCCTGAAATCTCTCAAATCCACCCTCCTCCCTCCATCTCCCATCACCACCTCATTCCAAAGCACCACCACCCCTCATCGGTGTTACTGCCTTTGCTGGTCACCTGGTCTACCCACACCTACTCCTGGCCCTGTTCACTTTGTTCTCCACACTGCCACCAGAGCGATTTTTTCAAAACGCATATGTAGTCTGGGACACAGGCACAGAGAAATTGAGCCGTTGCCTGAGGCCACACAGAAGGTAGTGACCCAGACTGGGAGAAAGGGAATGGGCCTTTTGGGCCCCGCCCTAAACTTTCACACTCCCCTGGGCTCAAACCTCATCCCATGATTGTTGGGCTGTGGCTAAGGCTCAGGTCAGAGTCAGCCAGGATAACTTTTCTGCAACCAAAGTAAGATTTTAGCTATTTCTGGGATATCTCTTCTGTCCCCAGAATCTGCATGGGAGAGATCCCTGCTAAGGAATATGTTCAGGTGGATGATCCACCCAGGGTGCTGAGCATGGGAATGCCAGCAAGCCCTGGTTTACTTGCTGCCATCTCTACAGCCACTCTGGGCTAGAGGGGCTTCAGGCCAGCTTCTAAGCCACATGGTTCAGCAACTGCAGTGTCATTGATTGTGACTTCAAGGGCTTCTGATGTCGCAATGACCCTGTGGGCCTGGACTGCTGGGGCCCCAGGGCCAGTGCTCCTGTGATAGCATGGTAGCTAGGGCCATGGCCAGCTTCCACCCTTCTGGCATCACATAAGCGAGCCTGTGAGTAGCCTGCAGCTTAGATGGTCCACTCACCCACTCCTTTCTGGCTGGAGGCTCTGTGTACCCAGGCTTGTGCCTCTCTATGTCACTGAACCAAGAGAGTGTTGTAGCCAGGGGGAACCAGTCTTGGGGGGTCAAGGGGCATAGCAGCTCTCATACCTGGTGTCTTCCCGACACTGCCAGGGCACCCTGAGCCAAGCCCCCATCATGGTCACTACTAGGATTTAGGGAGGCAGCCTGGGTGGCTGGGAAGGACAGTCCCAGATCAGCTAGGGAAGCAGGAGCAAGATGGCGCCAGGGACAGATGGCCATGGTGTCAGAGTCCTGCCCTGGCCTCTGCAGTGGCCCTTCTGCCCCTGAGGGAGGGAGATTCAGCTGTGTCAGTTTGCAGGGTCACGCTGACAACTTAGGGGGTCTGCGGGTAGGTATGGGGTGGGCCTGAGGGGTGTCCCTTCCCCTGCCTCCTCCAGACCGCTGGGTTCCTGTAGTGGCGCCACTTCCTCAGGTCAATGGCTGGTATAGTCACCTCTCCCAGCCCCGTTCGGGACTGTTTGAGGCTGTAGAGCTCAGATGGCACTCTGGACCCCACCTCGCCCCCACTCACCAGGTGGGTCAGGATGTAGGCAGAGCACCTAACCTTTCAGAGCCTCAGTTTCCTTCCCTGGAAAACGGGGGTGACCATCACCTGGTCTCTGTCAGGTGGAGAACATTAAATGAGGTCACACATGGAGCTTAGCAGACACTTGGCTGAGCCCAGAGCCCGTGCCTCCCACTGTGAAACAGGCACCCATCCTGGACCAGGGCCCTCACCTGGCTTTTCAGCAGGAGGAGGAGGGCCAGGGTATAGTGACCTGCCCGGGTTTACATGACAGTGGAGGCTGTGGGTCCAGGCCCATGAAAGGGACCCCAGTGTCCTTATAACAGTCGCGGTCTGGGGTCAGAGGCCACGGAGGCCCCCACTGGCCAGCACTGGTGTAGAGAAGCTGCACTTTGAACAAAGCTCTTTGCTGGGTGGGCAAGTATGTGGAAGGTCGGGAAGACTTCCTGGTGGGTCTGAGGGGCCAGGCCACAATCCAGGGCTGCTGGCATTTCTGGCAGGAGGCTGGCACTGTCACAACGGGCTCTGAGGTCACATGTTCACAATACGATGGCTGGTTTGACCACAGTGAAGGCATATGACCACAGCCATTGGCAGGCAACGGTTGCGCGATTTGATGGCAAAGGAAACACCATCCATCAGTCCTTAACCCCTGCTGTTCTCTGCCCTGACCTACCTTCATCTGCACAAGGAGCTTTAAAAAGACAGTCACTCGTGTACTGCTGGTGGGCATGGAAAATAGTACAGTTCTTCTGGAAGGTCGTTTGGTGGCTCCTTTTATTATTTTTTTTATTTTTTATTGCTATGTTAATCACCATACATTACATCATTAGTTTGTGATGTAGTGTTCCATGATTCATTGTTTGTGCATAACACCCAGTGCTCCATGCAGAATGTGCCCTCTTTAATACCCATCACCAGGCTAACCCATCCCCCCACCTCCCTACCCTCTAGAACCCTCAGTTTGTTTTTAAGAGTCCATCGTCTCTCATGGTTCGTCTCCCCCTCTGACTTACTCCCCTTCATTCTTACCCTCCTGCTATCTTCTTTTTTTTTCTTAACATACATTGCATTATATGTTTCAGAAGTACAGATCTGTGATTCAACAGTCTTGCACAATTCACAGCACTCACCATAGCACATACCCTCCCCAATGTCTATCGCCCAGCACCCCATCCCTCCCACCCCCCACCACTCCAGCAACCCTCAGTTTGTTTCCTGAGATTAAGAATTCCTCATATCAGTGAGGTCATATGATACATGTCTTTCTCTGATTGACTTATTTCACTAAGCATAACACCCTCCAGTTCCATCCACGTCGTTGCAAATGGCAAGATCTCATTCCTTTTGATGGCTGCATAATATTCCATTGTGTATATATACCACCTCTTCTTTATCCTTTCATCTGTCTATGGACACCTTGGCTCTTTCCACAGTTTAGCTATTGTGGACATTGCTGCTATAAACATTGGGGCGCACATACCCCTTCGGGTCCCTACATTGGTATCTTTGTGGTAAATAACCAGTAGTGCAATTGCTGGATCGTACAGTAGCTCTATTTTCAACTGTTTGAGGAGCCTCTATACTGTTTTCCAGAGTGGCTGCACCAGCTTGCATTCCCACCAACAGTGTAGGAGAGGGTTCCCCTTTCTCCACATCCCCGCCAACATCTGTCATTTCCTGACTTGTTAATTTTAGCCATTCTGACGGGTGTGAGGTGGTATCTCATTGAGGTTTTGATTTGGATTTCCCTGATGCTGAGCGATGTTGAGCACTTTTTCATGTGTCTGTTGGCCATTTGGATGTCTTCTTTGGAAAAATGTCTGTTCATGTCTTCTGCCCACTTCTTGATTGGATTATTTGATCTCTGGCTGTTGAGTTTGATAAGTTCTTTATACATTTTGGATACTAGCCCTCTTTCTGATATGTCATTTGCAAATATTTTCTCCCATTCTGTCGGTTGTCTTTTGGTTTTGTGGACTGTTTCTTTTGCTGTGCAAAAGCTTTTTATCTTGATGCAATCCCAATAGCTCATTTTTGCCCTTGCTTCCCTTGCCTTTGGCGATGTTTCTAGGAAGAAGTTGCTGCGGCTGAGGTCAAAGAGGTTGCTGCCTGTGTTCTCCTTTAGGATTTTGTTGGACTCCTGTCTCACGTTTAGGTCTTTCAACCATTTGGAGTCTATTTTTGTGTGTAGTGTAAGGAAATGGTCCAGTTTCATTCTTCTGCATGTGGCTGTCCAATTTTCCCAACACCATTTGTTGAAGAGACTGTCTTTTTTCCACTGGACATTCTTTCCTCCTTTGTCGGAGATTAGTTGACCATAGAGTTGAGGGTCCATTTCTGGGCTCTGTATTCTGTTCAAATGATCTATGTGTCTGTTTTTGTGCCAGTACCAAACTGTCTCGATGATGACAGCTTTGTAATAGAGCTGGAAGTCTGGAATTGTGATGCCACCAGCTTTGCTTTTCTTTTTCAATATTCCTCTGGCTATTCGGAGTCTCTTCTGGTTCCATACAAATTTTAGGATTATTTGTTCCATTTCTTTGAAAAAAGTGGATGGTATTTTGATGGGGATTGCATTGAATGTGTAGATTGCTCTAGGAAGCATTGACATCTTCACAATGTTTGTTCTTTCAATCCACGAGCATGGAACATTTTTCCATTTCTTTGTGTCTTCCTCAATTTCTTTCATGAGTATTTTATAGTTTTCTGAGTACAGATCCTTTGCCTCTTTGGTTAAATTTATTCCTAGGTATCTTATGGTTTTATGCAATTGTAAATGGGATCGACTCCTTGATTTGTCTCTCTTCTGTCTTGTTGTTGGTATATACGAATGCCACTGATTTCTGTGTATTGATTTTATATCCTGCTACTTTACTGAATTCCTGTATGCGTTCTAGCAGTTTTGGGGTGGAGTCTTTTGGGTTTCCCACATAAAGTATCATATCATCTGCAAAGAGTGAGAGTTTGACTTCCTCTTTGCCGATTTGGATGCCTTTGATTTCCTTTTGTTGTCTGATTGCTGTGGCTAGGACTTCTAATACTATGTTGAATAGCAGTGGTGAGAGTGGACATCCCTGCCGCGTTCCTGGAGAATGATATTCACTGTAGGTTTTTCATAGATGGCTTTTATGATATTGAGGTAGGTATCCTCTATCCCTATACTCTGAAGAGCTTTGATCAAGAAAGGATGCTGTACTTTGTCAAATGCTTTTTCTGCATCTATTGACAGGATCATATGATTCTTGTTCTTTCTTTTGTTAATGTATTGTACCACGTTGATTGATTTGCTGATGTTGAACCAACCTTGTGGCCCAGGGATAAATCCCACTTGGTCATAGTGAATAATCCTTTTAATGTACTGTTGGATCCTATTGGCTAGTATTTTGGTGAGAATTTTTGCATCCATGTTCATCAAGGATATTGGTCTGTAATTCTCCTTTTCGATGGGGTCTTTGTCTGGTTTGGGGATCAAGGTAATGGTGGCCTCATAAAATGAGGTTGGAAGTTTTCCTTCCATTTCTATTTTTTGGAACAGTTTCAGGAGAATAGGTATTAATTCTTCTTTAAATGTCTGGTAGAATTCCCCTGGGAAGCCATCTGGCCCTGGGCTTTTGTTTCTTTGGAGATTTTTGATGACTGCTTCAATTTCCTAGGTGGTTATAGTTCTGTTCAGGTTTTCTATTTCTTCCTGGTTCAATTTTGGTAGTTGATACATCTCTAGGAATGCACCCATTTCTTCCAGGTTATCTAATTTGCTGGCATAGAGTTGCTCATAATATGTTCTTAGAATTGTTTGTATATCTTTGGTGTTGGTTGTGATCTCTCCTCTTTCATTCATGATTTTGTTGATTTGGGTCACTTCTCTTCTCTTTTTGATAAGTCTGGCCAGGGGGTTATCAGTCTTGTTAATTCTTTCAAAGAATCAGCTCCTAGTTTTGTTGATCTGTTCTACTGTTCTTTTGGTTTCTATTTCATTGATTTCTGCTCTGATCTTTATCATTTCTCTTCTCCTGCTGCGTTTAGGCTTTATTTGCTGTTCTTTCTCCAGCTCCTTTAGGTGTAGGGTTAGGTTCTGTATTTGAGAACTTTCTTGTTTCTTGAGAAAGGCTTGTATTGCTATATACTTTCCTCTCAGGACTGCCTTTGCTGTATCCCAAAGATTTTTAACAGTTGTGTTTTCATTTTCATTGGTTTCCATGAATTTGTTTAATTCTTCTTTAATTTCTTGGTTGACCCATTCATTACTTAGTAGGATGCTCTTTAGCCTCCATGGATTTGAGTTCTTTCCGACTTTCCTCTTGTGAATGAGTTCTAGTTTCAAAGCATTGTGGTCTGAAAATATGCAGGGTATAATCCCAATCTTTTGGTAGTGGTTGAGACATGATTTGTGGCCTAGGATGTGATCTATTCTGGAGAATGTTCCATGGGCACTAGAGAAGAATGTGTATTCCATTGCTTTGGGATGGAATATTCTGAATATGTCTGTGAAGTCCATTTGGTCCAGTGCTTCATTTAAAGTCTTTATTTCCTTGTTGATCTTTTGCTTAGATGATCTGTCCATTTCAGTTAGGGGGGTGTTAAAGTCCCCCACTATTATTGTATTGTTGTCAATGTGTTTCTTCGCTTTTGTTATTAATTGCCTTATATAAGTGGCTGCTCCCACGTTAGGGGCATAGATATTTACAATTGTTAGATCTTCTTGTTGGATAGACCCTTTAAGTAGGATATAGTGTCCTTCTTCATCTCTTCTTATAGTCTTTGTTTTAAAATCTAATTTGTCTGATATAAGGATTGCCACCCCAGCTTTCTTTTGGTGTCCATTAGCATGGTAAATGGTTTTCCACCCCCTCACTTTCAATCTGGGGGTGTCTTTGGGTCTAAAATGAGTCTCTTGCAGACAGCATATGGATGGGTCTTGTTTTTTAATCCAATCTGATAGCCTGTGTCTTTTGATTGGGGCATTTAGCCCATTTACATTCAGGGTAACTATTGAAAGGTATGAATTTAGTGCCATAATATTGCCTGTAAGGTGACTGTGACTGTATATTGTCTGTCTTCCTTTCTAACCTCTGCTTTTAGGCTCTCTCTTTGCTTAGAGGACCCCTTTCAATATTTCTTGTAGGGCTGGTTTCGTGTTTGCCAATTCCTTTAGTTTTTGTTTGTCCTGGAAGCTTTTGATCTCTCCTTCTATTTTCAATGACAGCCTAGCTGGATATAGTATTCTTGGCTGCATATTTTTCTCGTTTAGTGCTCTGAAGATATCATACCAGTCCTTTCTGGCCTGCCAGGTCTCTGTGGATAGGTCTGTTGCCAATCTTATGTTTCTACCATTGTAGGTTACATATCTCTTCTCCCGAGCTGCTTTCAGGATTTTCTCTTTGTCTCTGAGACTCGTAAGTTTTACTATTAGATGTTGGGGTGTTGACCTATTTTTATTGATTTTGAGAGGGGTTCTCTGTGCCTCCTGGATTTTGATGCCTGTTTCCTTCCTCCAATTAGGGAAGTTCTCTGCTATAATTTGCTCCAATATACCTTCTGCCCCTCTCTCTCTTTCTTCTTCTTCTGGGGTCCCAATTATTCTAATGTTGTTTCATCTTATCGTATCGCTTATCTCTCGAATTCTGCCCTCGTGATCCTGTAGTTGTTTCTCTCTCTTTTTCTCAGCCTCTTTATTTTCCATCATTTGGTCTTCTATATCACCGATTCTCTCTTCTGTGTCATTTATCCTAGCAGTTAGTGCCCCCATTTTTGATTGCACCTCATTAATAGCCGTTTTGATTTCGACTTGGCTAGATTTTAGTTATTTCTCCCGAAAGGGTTTCTCTAATAACTTCCACACTTTTTTCAAGCCCAGCTAGTATCTTTAAAGTCATGATTCTGAACTCTAGGTCCGATATCGTACTAATGTCTGTATTGAGTAGGTCCCTGGCTGACGGTACTACCTCTTATTCTTTTGCTGAGGTGATTTTTTTCATCTTGTCATTTTGTCCAGAGGAGAATAGATAAATGAGAGAACAAAATGCTAACAGGTTAACAACGTCCACAGCAAATATACTCTATACAAATCAGAAAAGACCTGAAACCAGGGGGAAAGGAAGGAAAGAAAGAAAAAAGAAAGAGAGAGAGAAAAAAAGAAAAAGATAAAAACAAACAAAAACAGAACAAAACAAAAAAACCAGAATATGATCAGATATGATCAGGCTAGTGCATAGATCAGTGCCACACACTAGATTTTGGGCGTATTTTGGTCTGTTAGGAGAAAGTGCCTCCTAAAATTTTAAAGGAAGAAAGACTTATATATATACAAAATAAGGGTTGATACAATGAAGGGATGGAAGATGACTATAAAGATGAAAATTATAAAAGAATTTACAAAAGGAATTGATAAGAACTTGTTTGGAAAAAGAAGAAGATTTAAAAAAAAAAGAAAAGAAAAAGGGAGACTAGAGCAAAGCCATACACTAGTGATTTAGGGTATATTTTGATCTGTTAGAAGAAACTGTATCTCAAAATTTTAAAGAGAGAACAACTTATATATATATGCCCAAAATAAGGGTAACTACTATGAAGGGATAAAATATGACTCTAAAAATGAAAAATAAAAAATGTTTTTCTGAAAAAAGGGATTGATAAGATGTTGGTTGAAAAAGGGAAAAAGAAAAATTAAAAAAAAACAGTTAAAAAAATTAACTTTGAAAAACAAATGAATCATGGTAAAAAAACCATGAATTCTATGTGCAGTATTCCCCTAGCGCTGGAGTTCTCCCGTTCTCCTTGATCGGTAAACTTGGTCTTGGCTTGTGGGCCGATCGTGCTGATCTCCTGGGGGAGGGGCCTGTTGCCGTGGTTCCCAAATGTCTTTGCCGGAGGCGGAATTGCCCCGCCCTTGTCGGTCCGGGCTAAGTAATCTGCTCGGGTTTGCTCTCAGGAGCTTTTGTTCCCTGCAAGCTCTCGGTACAGCTTTGGAGGACAAGAGTGAAAATGGTGGCCTCCCAATCTCCGCCAAGAGGAGCTGAGAACTCGGGGCCCTGCTCCTCAGTGCGCCCCCAGAGAAAAGCAGTCACTCCCGTCTCCCCGGTCTCCGGCCGCACTCCGTGCTCACCCGGCCTGTGACCGAGCATTGCTACCTCTGGCACCCGACCCTGTGTGGAGTCTCCAAACCCAGCAGATCCCTGCAGTGCGTTCCCGTGCCGCTCCTCCGGGGGGAGGAAGGGGAGTCTCCCCAGATCTGCCGCTTGTTGGGTCCCTGCTGGAGGAGCAGTGGCCCGACTGTCACCGATCACAGTTTATGGCAACCCTGAGCTGAGAGCCCGCGCCTCGGCTCCGTCTCTGCAGCTGGCTTCCCCGCCCTGATACCTGGGAGCTCTGCCGCACTCAGGCACCCCCGGTCTTTCTGTGACCCTGAGGGTCCTGAGACCACACTGTCCCGCGAGGGTTCCACCCCCCGCTTAGCCACTGGAGTGACGTCCCTCAGCGGAGCCGACTTCTAAAAGTTCTGATTTTGTGCTCCGCGGCTCTAGCACTTGCCAGAAGCGGCCAACGGAGGCCCCCTCCCCCGCCATTTATCCTCCCAAATATCACCTCGGATTCACTTCTCTGCACGTCCTACCTTCCAGTAAGTGGTAGTTTCTCTTTTCAGAGAGTTGTTGCTACTCTCTTCTTCGATCTCCTGTTGAGTTCGTAGGTGTTCAGAATGGTTTGATCCCTATTCAGCTGAATTCCTGAGACCAGACGAAATCCAAGTCTCCTACTCCTCCGCCATCTTGCTCCGCTGGTGGCTCCTTTTAAAACTAAAAATGGACTTATCATAAGCCACAGCAACTGCACCCTTATATAGTCCAGAGAAACAAAGACTTATTTTCATGCGCAAACTTGCACATGAATATTCATAGCAGCTTTATTCATAATAGCCCCATACCAGGAACTACCCAGATGTAGTTTGAACAAAGCATGGCAACAGTTGAGGATTAAACAAAGCATGGCACATCCATCCCATAGAATCCTACTCAGCACTGAAAGAAGAACCACCTGCTGATATGCACAACCGGGCTGGTTCCTGAGGGACTTTATGCTGAGAGAAAGAAGCCAGATACCTCCTGCGTGGTTCCATTGGTATAACACTTGTAAAGTCACATCAGTATAGAGACGAACACAGATTCGTGGTTGCCAGAGTTTGGGATGGGCTGTTTAGTTGAGAACCATCCCAGGTGGTGGTTACACAAAGCTGTGCACATAAAATTTCACAGACACACCCACACACACACTCACACGTGAGAGCATGTATGACTGGTACAGTGTGGTGAGGCCGGGCATGGGCGATGGGCCAGCATGACCCAGCCCTCACTCAGCCCTGAGGGGCAGGCAGGGGCCCCATTCTCTGTCCCCTTCGCGATCCCGAGGGGAAGCCCAGTGCCTGGTCCAGGTCCAGTCTGGCTGCTCCCATCCCCTTCCCCACTCTGACAGGCCTCCTCTTGTCTTCCAGCCATGGCTGAAAAGTGTGCCACAGCTTAACCTCCTTCCGTGATGAACTCGAAGAACCCCAAGAAGTGCCCCCAGTACAAGAAGAGTAGAAAGAAGGCCCAGGAAAAATTTGCCAGGAAGTTTCCATACAGGTACTAGACTCCGAGGCCCCTAGGGCCAAGTCCTGCCTCCCCTGAGGCCATGCCAAAGCGCATTCCAGGGGCATATAGTGTGGACCTGGGATGAGGTTTCTCATCCACAGGGAGTTCCCTGAGGAGCTCTGTGACAGTCTGGGGTTCATCTGCATCCCGCCCCCATCCCAATCAGAGCTGAGGGCCTCTAGATAGGTGGCCGGGACACCTGGGGCCATCCCAGAGCCGTAGCCGGCTCTTTCGCTCTGAGTCAGTGGCCTCGTGGGAACCACCTGAGGAGCACATTCATGAACACCTACCCCTGCCAAAGGTGTGATGGGGTCAGACTGGGGTGGGATGTAGTGTGTAAAGCCCTAGGGCACTTGGGAATCAGTAGAGACCCCCAGACTGGGCAGCTCTGGGGCCCCGACCAGTGACAGTTACTAAATGTTCTGTGTGGCCAGGCTGTGTCCTGGATCCCACCATCAATGCACTGATAGGTCCTGACCAAAAAAAAAAAAAAAAAAAAAATGTAGCAACTTTGGAGGGCTTCCTAGTTGTGTGAGCTTGGGCAAGTCACTTGACCTCTCTGTGCCTTAATTTCCTCATCTATAAATGGTTGTGAGTTGACATACAGGTTAATGTTGATAAAGCACTTAGAATGATGCCTGGCAAGTACAAAGTTCCAGATGAGAAGAGCTATTCATATGGCTGGTGGCTGCAGGCTCACTAAAGATGCCAAGTGCCCATTGCAGGTTCTCTTGGCTGACAGAACCTACTGTAGAGTTCCTGAAGCCCTGGGAGGTCACGAAGATGACCACCACACTGAGGGATCAGCTGCCCCTGCAGAAGACTTTGATGCCAACAAGATCCATTCCAGTCAGAGGGTAAGTCACAGGCCCAGGATGCCGACAGCTGCTTCGGCCCACCAACCACTCTCAAGCTGCTGGCCTTACACCCCAGCTCTGCACACAGACACTCATGTGACTCTCCCAGCAGGCTCCACTTCCAAGCTGAAGAAACCAAGGCCCAGAAAGGAGACACTGAAGTCCTGTGGTCCCTCCCACAGCAAGCAGTTTGTGGGAGAGGCTGCACAGGACCCTCGGGTGGGCAGGCCCTGGCCTCATCTGAAGAGGGCCCTGTCCACATGTAGGGAAACAGGCCTGAGCAGGCAGCTTAGCCAACATCCTTCCACACAGCAGAGGCAAAACAGAAGAAGAGCCCACAAGTTTCTGGTCTCCTTGCAGCCTGCTCTGAGGGTGGAGGCACTGACAGGGGACTTCACACTCGCCACTTCTAGACTGACCATCTACTCACAGATGTACCCCCCACACACGGGCACACACAGTGAAACACCCAGACACCCTTGGAAAGTCCCCACACATGAACATTTCACATACTCGCCCTAAACTGGAACTCAGATCCAGGCTGTCCCTGGGCCATCACACACCAGCTGTGACATAATGCAGGGCTTCTGTGACCAGTTGGTGGAGAGGGGCATCCACCCCACCTCCCGCGGACCCCAGCTCCACTGTAACTGCCTCAGCACCTCCCTCCAACTCTAAGGCTGATGTAGCTGTTGGAAAAGACAGACCAAGGGAGGAGCAGTGGCCTTACAGGGGAAGTGGCCATACAGTGCTGGTGCACCTGCTGGTGGCCGTCCAGCGACTGGAGGATGACATTCATTCAGTGTCTGCGTAGGCCTGGTGGACCAAGTCCTGGCTGTGTCTGAGGCACGGCGCGGGAACCCTGTTGGGGTTCTGACGTGGACATGGGAGGTGGCGTTTGGGAGGGCAGCAGAGGCTCAGCGTGGGGTCCCAGGGCAGGTCTGGGCTGGGAGCAGTCTTGGTCGTGGCCCCAGCCGACATCTCTGGACCCGTGGGGTTCTGTGTCGCTTTTCTAGGCTTGGGGCCCCAGATTTTACGTCACTGTCCTGCTTGAACCCTCCGCTGCCACCGCCTCTACTGAGCCAACTTTGGGAACTCAAGCTAGTGAGCCGCCGCTTCCCTAGGCCAGGCGCCCCCACTGTCCCCCCCCGGCACCTGCGCTGCCCACCCCTCCAGAGGCCTCCTCTAGAGCCCGGCTCCGAGCGGCCTCCCTCACGGCCACCTGTCCCGGGCTCTCCAAGTGGTGGCCACAGAGCACTCCCTTCCGGACAGAGGTGAACTCAAGTGAGGGGAACCACCCTGATGGGGCTCTTCATCTCCTCAGATCCCACGCCATGTGAATAAACTTCACAGATTCAAATCCTATTTCTGCTTGGACTGAGCAATTTGCTTTCGGAACGTCCATTTTCTCATCGATAAAATGAAGTGATGGTTGGTGTGAGGTTTAGAGAGAGTAGGAATGTCATTTCCCAGAATTGATCCCAAGGATGCACTCGCTCATGTAAGTAAAGATATTTAGACAACAATATTCATTACAGCGCCATAGCAAAGGATCGGAGACCACCTATATATCCACCACTAGGGGGCTGTTCACTGATATACCACGGCCAGACCCCGACTACCAGGCAGCCACTGAAATGAGGAACTAGCTCTTTATATACTGGTCTGGAGCAATCTACAATGCATATTTAGATTTTTTTTAAAGCACAACAGAAGTGTCTCTGATATACTCCCATCTTATATACATTAGGAAACAGAGTGTACGTGTGTGTACATGTGTGTGCACGTGTGTGTGTGTGTGTGTGTGTGTGTGTGTAGTAGGTAACAATCAGTACCTCTGGGCAGAAGAACTGGGGGACCTGGGGACAAGCCTACTATTTTCTGAAATTTTAATACATGAACTTAATACCACGTTGTTGGTGGATTACAGATTCTTCAAAGAGAAGTGATATGGAATAAAAATCAGGGACTGTTGTAATTTCTTTGGCATTTGTAATAGCAGCACTGTGTAGGAGGGTGCCTGCAGAAGATGTAAGGGTTTCCCTGCTCTGTTCTACAGAGAGAGGGACCAGAAGGTTATCTTGGAGTCCTTAGGAGGGTAAATAAAATCGGGGACACTAACTATAACCCTCTCACTAGAAGAGAAGAGTGTGGGGGCCCTGAAGATGTAACTAAGGTGGCTGCACTGAGCAATGTGGGTAAGTCGCCGCATTGTTCTGGAAAGAAGGTGGAATGAGGTCCCCTGTGGAGTGAGAATTGAAAAGGGGCCCTCCCCAAGCCCTAGGGAGGAACCGGATGGTGGTTCCCAGCCTGCAGGAGGCAGAAGTCAGTTCTGCTGTGTGCTCCTGGGGTGTCTGGGGCCTGGGGAAAGGGTGCAGAGGACTGCCACAGGTGGGGGGGGACCCTGGGCCTCTGTCCATCCAGGCCCCAGGTGGGAAGCAGGCTGGTTGTACCGTGCACCAGGAAGCATTGGCCTGGTGGTAGAGGGAAGCAGAGACGCCAGGGTCCCCTCCTGTTGTGGTCGGAGGCAGGCTGATCTCCATTTGGACTGTGTAAGTCTCAGGACTTTTCCTCCAATGTTCACAGCTATATCGTACTTGATATTTGCAAAATATAGCATGGTGTGCCTGTGATGCAGTGTAGCAGTACAGTGACCGATGTGTCCATCTGCCTGAGGGCTCCTTCTCCAGCCGCCCCCACCTCCCCTCCACCCCCGTAACCACAGCTCTCTCCTATCCTCCTAAAACTAGTATCTCAAAACAATACATTATTTGCTTTTTTTTTTATTAGCGATATAGGATTGTATTATGCTCCATGCCAACTTTTTTTCCTCAGCAGCAAGTTGCTACGAGTCACCTGATGATGCATACTGCTCATTTAATCGTTTCGTTAGCATGTATAATACTCCATGGCTAGTCCATCCTCTTTCCGACAGACACTTGGTTTCTAGTTTTTGCTGTTGTGGATGCAGCTTGCTCTGAGCATTGCTACCCCGTCCCTGGTGCACATTGTTCCCTGGAGAGGTGTCACTGGCCAGAAGGCTCCCAAAAGCCAGCCAGCACCACCCTGTTTTCCCCGAGGGGTCCCACTGCCTGTGACCACCAGCAGCTTATAGAAAGAAGCTCCTCTGGGTCCACCTGTGGACTACTCTTGCTGTGGCCCCCAAGTGTTTAGGACGTAGGTGGGAGGGCATGCAGGGCTCTTGGAGCACATGGGGCAGAACCAGTCCTGTAGGTAGAAAAAGCTCATACCAGTGACCCAACCAGAGTGAGTCCTAAAATGCGCATGGTCTCCAGTGATTTCTTTCCTGTGAGGTGATTCTAAAGAATATTTAGGGAGTAAAGTGTTATCTGTTTGTCCCGCTGTGTCCTGAGTGTTTCTATGTACACGATGCCCTCAAAGAAGAAAACCAACCCTTCAGGAAGCATGCATCGCAGAAGTCCTCACAGGGAAATGGGCAACCCCTGAATGTTTGACAACAGAAGGATGAGTTAGCATATCACAGTGGCCCAGACAGCAACCCAGGGCACGCTGCCAGCTCTTAAAGTGCATCCACCCTGGGCCCCGACTGTCCTCGTGCCCTGAGCAGAGTGACAGTAAAACGTACATTGGCAGATGCTTGAAGCCTCCTGAGGACCAGGCACAGTGAACAATGTGGTCAGGAAGTGGATCTGTGTTCTAGGAATGTATCCTATGATCACACCCTACACAAGCAAGACCGATGTATGCAGGGATATTCACAGCACTGTAATGCTAAAGGACATAAATTAATCTAATTGCCTATCATTTAGGGACCAATGAAATAAAAGCAGCAAGTCTGCAATGGAATCATGGGTTCCCCTGGAGATAAAAATATGGATGCAAGTAGTTTCAATGGGGGGAGATTCCGGGGAGCCCCCCAGAGATGTGTGGAAGGGAAAGGAAGCAAAAGGTGTGCTCTTGAGCTGGCCACCACTTTGGGCACCTGGGGCTGAATCCCAGGGGAGAACTCTGGAGGTCACGCCTCAGTGTTCTCCCACCTGAGGGGCAAAAGCTGCAGTATTTACCCGCCCCCCCCCCCAGCTTCCAGCGGACATCGGTTGAGGCTGCTCGGGGACACTGACTCCCTGCACACCCAACATCCCTGTGCTCAGGCCAAGCAGGTCTGGTGGCCAGAGGGAACTTACAGGAGGGCTGCAGATGGAGCAGCTGGAAGCCATGGGGAATGCTACCTGGAAGTGCTTACTGCCACAGGGATGTGGGTTGGGGGGTGGGTATCGTGCCCAGCCTCCCTTGAGGCAGGAGCGTTGCAGGAATGGTAGGCTCTGGAATGTATAATCCACAGTCTGTGTCTTCAACATTCTGCTGCCCGGGAAGGGAATGGCTCACTCTCATGGACCACGTGGAGAAGGGCTACGTACAGCCTAGGGATGGAGGAGCCACAGGACAGAAGGGGCCTGCACCCCCAGTGGCTCCATGGAGCAGCTGTTTTGACCACCTCCTGCTACACAAGAGAAACCAGCTGATCCAAGTCATCATTGCTGAGCCTTCGCCACAGACAACGGCGCCTTCACCCTGGGAAGAGATCTCCAGCCCCATGGGGAAGGGTGGCATCCTGACACCTGGCCCACGGACCTCATGGGGTGCTGTAGCAGCCCAACAAGCTGAGTTGGTGTCCGCCCCCAGACCATGCAGCCAGGTGCCGAGGCCAGCAGATGCAGCCGGCTGCAATCCCCAAACTGAATAATGCATGAAGCAGTGTTGTGACAAAGAACCAGGGGTTTGTTTCAGCAAAATTTTAAATCATAGAACTCTGCCTCCCAGGAATCTGCCTCAATGACAAAGCCACAACAGAAAACTGAAAAACAAAACAAAACAAAACAAACCAACGCCATAACTACAAAAATCCGGGAAACATTTTCCTGACAAAGCCAGAAACAACAGAAGAACACTGAAACGTTTTAAACAAGTCTTTGTAACCCAATCCACTGGTGTCACTTCCTTGCTGGGGAGGCTGCTGGCCAGCACCACTCAGCTCTGAGAGATGGAAAACCACGAAATAGAAGACAGTTGCCCGTAAGCTAAAATGCCAAGTGACCTTCAGTTGGTGTCTTTGATTCCTTCAGGAACCGGGGCAGCCTTTTAACAGAAAAATCACTGAAGGGTGCCAGGTTGAGCCCCCCTCCCCCAGCACCTTCTTGTCTTGTCCAGCTGTTCACGTGAGACCCTGTCTTCCTTGGGCCATCTGATGATCCAGCTGGGATCTTGCTATTGAGGGGTGGGCAGTCAGCCTCTGATCTGTGAGGACAGACAGTTCTGGTGCCAGCCCGAGAGGAAACAGGTCAGAGGACACCAGAGCAGGAGGAACTCCCCAGGGCCCGCACGAGAAGAAGAGGCGCCTCCAGCAAGCGTGGGCCTGGACTGTGGCCCTTGTACTCACAACAGAGGGTGTGACATCAAGTGCCATCAGTGGGGGGGGTGCACAGTGGAGTGCCTGCCCGCATGAGGGAGTGTGCATGCATGTGACAAGCTTCAGGAGACAGGAGGCATTGAAGGAGATGACAGCAGGCTCTGTGACTGCAGAGCTGGAGGGCGACTTCTAAAGGTGACAACCTGGATGGAGCAGGGGGAGGGGGGCATCTGGATGGGGGATAACTTCAACAAACAGGTTGCAGCAAAGGCTGTGTGGGTACTGAGGGAGCTTGGAGCAAAGGTGTGTGCCATCGAAGCATGTGGGACAACTGACCATGAGGTGGCACGTGACACAGTGTGCATAGGCATATAAGGGAGTGTGTGGGCAACGGGCCAGGAACAAGCCTCCCGGTGTGTCACAGGTCCAACCCCTCCCCCCATCCAGGCTCCTGGGCTTTCCATGGCTCTCCAGGGGGGTGAGGCTTCACGGGGAGCCCAGTGGCAGTCCCTTCCCAACTCCACAAGGGTTGGCCGTCATTGACCCCTACTGGCAGGGCCCACGGACAGTGTCCCAGAAGGCCTCGGCAGGCTCCTGAGAGGGAGGAGCCCTAGGACTGGCCTGGAAGGGGAAAGCATCCATTGCAGACAGGGGAACAACATCAGCAAAGGCCGAGGCATGAATGTGACTGAGCTGCCAGTCCCTGGCCAGCCTGGCCCCCACAGGCCAGCATGGCCCTATAACCAGGCTCACGGGCCCTCACCACAGGGTGTGGGGCACCACAACACAGGTTGGGCCTCTGCCCTGCCAAGCTGCCCTTCCTCGGCTGTGTTCTGATTTCTGTTTCTCAAAACCTCAGGCATACCCTGCCCTGGTCTTCCCAAAGTTCTGGCATTTTGATTTATCATTCAAGGAAACTGAGAAAGGACACCCTATATTCAAAGAGTTACTAAGGCCCTTCCTAGGGGACTACCACGGCTGGCTGTCTTCCCAAAGCCAGAAGGGTGGATCCTCATTGCCAAGCGGCCTGACACACACTGCAAATACACACCCACACACCCACACACCCACAGAAGGGTGGGAGGCAGCCCAAAGCACAGGATTTCACTGAGCTGGTTTCAGCTTTAATCTTTAGCCTAGGCAGAATGAAAAGTCAGATTTCCCCCCCAAGTTTTCACTGTTACCCCTCCAGCCAGAATTTAGCACCCCTTGCCATAGTGTACCCACTCCTTACCCCACTCCCCATATAGCCCTTCACACCTGTGGGCTCTCCATCTCTCTCATCTGATCTTCATGACCACCTGGCATTCTTGCGCCATTTGGCAGCAAAGGAAAACTGAGGCTCAGATTTGTTGAGATGCCTAAGATCTGACAGCCCCATGCAGCAGAACAAATGGCAAAATGAAGCAGAGAAACTCCAAAATGTCAGAAGTAAAAAACATTTATTTCAAAAACATAAGCTCCCCAGCTCACGATGGTCCTATAAAACCCGCCACCATACTGCACTCTGGGCTCTGTGGGCACACACGGAAGACTTAGGATCTGGCCAGACTGAGATCAAAGGTGGGGCCAGCCACAGGGAGAGGCAGCATGGCTCAGTGACAGGCAGAGTGGAAGGCAACTCAGGGTGGGCTCCATGCCATACCCACTGACAAGGAAGGCCCTAGCCTGCGCCCGATGACGGAGGGCTTTCCTCCTGGGCCATGGCTGTCAATACCAGGGCTGGGGCGGTGAAGAGGCTGCTAGGAGAGGCCACAGACTGCACCGAACCAGCATTTTGCTCTGGTTTGGGGGTCAAAGTTGACCCCCGAAAATGGCCTCTCACAAACTAAAAAATACTAGTAATTCAATGCTTCCCCACCCAGCGGTCTGGAGAAATGCCTGCCAGCTGGCACAGTCAGACGAAGCAAGCAGCAAGGGACAGGCAGGCACACGGGTGTCCAGCCGCCTGAGGTGAGCTACACCCAAACCTGGCCGGGCGGGATGGAGGCCCGGGCGGGCTGGCCAAGCAGGGAAGCACCGGGGCAGTGGTGCTCAGAGAGGAGTCCGGGGCAGGCAGCACCAGCATCAGGGTGCGGGGGGTGGGGGGCGGGTGGCCACCAGAAATGCACACCGTCCGGTGGGTGTGACGGGCCTCGCCACCTAGTGCAGCCGCAGGTAGGAAGGGGCAGAGTAGTTGAAGAGCAAGAAGTCCATCCTGTAGAGGTCGAAGAGGCGCCGCTGGTAGAAGGGGCTGATGTCCCGGAAGAGGCGCTCGGCCAGGTCGCGGGCGGCGGCCGTCTTGGCCCGGGGCGGGGGCGCAGGGAAGCGCAGGCCGGGCGCGCCCACCAGGCCCAGCACGAAGGCCGCGTCCTCCGCCAGCGTCTCGAACTTGCCCACCACGTCGTAGCGCAGGCGGCACGGGTGGCAGAGGGCGTGCGCGCGCTCCCAGTGCTCGTTGAAGGGCTCCTCGCGGCGCGTGCGCGGGTCCAGCAGGTAGGCCAGGAACTCGGCGAAGCGCACGTCGTGGCCGCGGGCCAGCGCGTCAGGGTGTGGGCGCGGCCGCAGGCGCCGCACGATGCGCGTGCCGTAGCGCCGCTGGAAGGCCGCGCTGTAGGGCCGCGCGAACTTGTTGCGGTAGGCCGACGCCAGGCGCTCGAAGGGCTCGCGCACGAACAGGAAGGCCAGGTAGGCGCGCAGCCGCCGGTTGATCTCGGCCGGGCTGAAGTCAGCCAGCGAGGGCAGGCGGCCCCGCGCGTGCGCCTCGTGCGCGGGGATGGCGCGCGGGTCGCTGCGGGCTCGGCCGCTCAGCGCCAGCAGCACGCGCTTCCAGTTGGTGCAGGCCACCTTGGGCACGTAGCAGTAGAGCAGGCCGTGCGCGTCGTCCACCAGCACGTGCCGCAGGTCCTCGGGCCCCAGCAGGCGCTGCCGGCGTGTGTGGCGGCTGCAGGCTCGGCGCAGCAGGTCGCGCCGCTGCCGGTGCACCTCGGCCAGGGCTGAGCGCGGGCCCTGCGGGCGACAGCGGGGGTGGGAGAGTGGGGCGGGGGGGCCGGTCAGCGCCGCGGGCCCTGCGCCCACCGGGCCGTGGCGACGGAACAGGGGATTCGAACCCCAGCACTGCCACCGATCACTGTGATTTGGGACCCGGATCCTAGACCAGAATTTGGGGGGAAAATGACTCTAACCTCACTGAGGCAGGTGGAAGGATGTGACAAGCAGGGTTGGGCCCTCAGGACCAAGGAGGTCCTGATGATGAATATGACCGTGTCAGAGTAAGCCTGATGGAATAAGTATGTCATCAGAGTGGTGAGTGTGGGCACAAATTGAATATCAGGATAATGTATAAGAACAACAGCTATAATTCCATATAGAGTTGAAAAATGCAGCCACTTGCAGGCTACTGAGATATTTTTTTGTTCAATAATAAGATTTGGGGGGTGATGAAAGTGTCCTGTAGTTAGAGAGTGGTGATGGTCATGCAGCCTTGGTCACTACAGACCATTGAAGGGTACACTGTAAAAGAGTGAATTTTATGGCATGTGAGTTATATCCCAGTTACGAAAAGAGCCTTGTGAGTGTTTCCGTTTCAGGGAAGGACAAAGCAGCACCTGAAATGGTAGGACACTGGGTCCAGTGCCTGCATAAGAGTATCTGCCATTGCTGGGTGGGGAGGGGAAGAATGTGTGTGGGGGGGAGGTGCTCATTTGCGCTTCTCATGCCTTTAAAAGTATCCAGAAATCCAAGCAGAAATCCAAAATACTTCAAGTGATAAAAGCTAAAGTACGGAACAGGAGTTAACATGTCACATTTTGGGTTTACAAAGGGTGAGGAAGGAAATAAAAAAATGTTTCAGAAAGGATAGGTTGTAGGCAGCCTCTCATATTTTATTTTATTTTTTTAAAGATTTATTTGTTTCAGAGAAAGAGAGAGAGAGAGTGAGCATGGGGGGAGGCAGAGAGAGAGAGAATCCCAAGCAGACAACCCTGCTTACCTTGGAGCCCAACATGGGGCTCCATCTCACAAACCCGAGATCAAGACCTGAGCCAAAATCAAGAGTTGGACACTTAACTGACTGGGCCATCCAGGTACCCTGGGAGCCTCTCTTTTAGATATATATTGAAATTGTCACGTACTAAACAAGGTTGGAATTTGCTTCCAAATAATCCCAAGTAGGAATGGAGGGAGAGGGGTCTGGATGAAACAGGACAGAGTTGATCACTGTTCAAACTGGGTGATGGGAATGTGGGGGTTCATTGTACATTTTACTTCTGTGTATGTTTGAATTTTTCTCAATTAAAACATAAAGCAGAAAAAAAGGACATATATACCTGTAGGTATGATTCTGGAAAAGTGACCTAAGCACATGACAGAGCATTGGACACTACACACATGCCTAGAACATGCCCGGAAGGGCACACAGGGAACGAACTGGTCGCCTCCAGGGGTAACCAGGGCCCGGGTGGGAAGGAGAGGTACTTTTCACTGCATATACTCGTTTGAAAGGTTGAATGCCCTATCATGTGCTTATCGTACTTTTTCAGAATCTCACTGAGGGGTGGCTGCCAATCTCAGAGCAGTGAGGGGCGTGAGAGCACCGAGAAGATCCGTTTCCCTCTAAGGCAGATTCACAGGACCGGCCTCAGAAGCCGGCTTCACATGGGTGCCAGGAGAAGGCTGTATCCAGTGGCCCCACAGCCAAGCTCTGCTTTCTGCTTCCAGACATCCCCACATATTTCTTGGGGCAGGGAATGTTGGCCATGCACCCACCTGTCAGTCATCCTCCCCCCTTGCCAGCAGACCCCAACTGTGGTAGGTCAACGTGCCGAGCCTTGGGGAAGAACCAGTCATAGCAGCCTCACACAACTTCATGAAAGCTATGGGTCCAGGGGTGAATATCTGGCTTGGTTTGGGCCAAGGAGATGTACAGGGAAGTCTGCTAGATGGCTCCCAGGAAAGACTTTCCTTCAGCACAAAAAGAGAGGGCTCCTGAAAGAAAAAAAATCTTTGCCTCAGCCCCTCCCTTTCTGCTTGGGGTACCATCCTGTGAGATGTCTGGAGCCCTGGCAGTCATCTTGAAGTCACGAGGCAACAAGATGTATCATATGTCAACATTCAGAGTATGATGATGGGCAACATGTTGCTGCTGTACCAAGGGCTGTTGGTTTCTGAGCATGTTGGGAAGTAAACACCCACTGTCCTAATGGCTTAAAGTCAGCTTTTCTGTTGCTTGGAGCCCCATAAATACCAAGATAGTCAATACTATCTCCATAGAAATGAGAAAACTGAGGCTCAATAGAAATGAGTTGCCTACAGCCCTCAAGTAGGGAAGCAGGGACTCCCAACTCAGGTCCCTTAGGACTCAGAAGCTGGGGCTATGCCCATTGGTCCAGAAACAGATCCTACCGTTACAACCATCTCTTCCAGCCTCACTGGACTCGGCTGCCTGGATTCTTAGCCTGGCCCTAGTCCTTATGAGCTCTGTAAACTTCTCTGTGTCCTTGGCCTCCCTGGGACTCAGTTTGCTCATCTGTAAACAGGAATAACAACAGCCCTACCTTACAGGCTTGCCATGAGGACTAAATAAGTTCACAGAATTGGAGTGTCTGGTACACAGTTAGCCTTTGTTGGCCAGATTATTTTTATTACTCTTATTTCTCCAGCCACAAGGTGCTAAGCTCCCAGGGCCTTGACACCCAACAGTCAGAGGGACCTCAAGCTGTGAGGGGGCTGAGCCAGCCCCATCTGCCCCTCAGAAGCCTGTGGAACTAGTGGAACCCAGGATCCTGCTGAGAGCCTGCCGTGCCCTCAGCTTGCTGTGTGGCCCAGAGCAAGCCAGTTACCCTCTCTGAACCAAGGCCTCCACACATGCAACCCAAGGGCGTGGGTCAGATAAGCTCCACAGGCCCCTTTGGCTCAGCCCTCAGGGATTCAGTGAACAGCTACCTACGCAACCTGTCTGACCCTTCTCCCCAGCTTAAAACCCTCTGTGGTTTCCCTATTGCCCTCGCCCCACCTGCCAGGCACCACCCAAGCTGCTGCCCACTCCTGGCTCACCTCACACACCCTCTTCTGTTGTCTGTCTACCACCAGGCACTTGGCCCTCTACTCTTTGCTTCTTGACTCCTTCTCTGCAGGTCTCAGCTCCAATGTCCCTTTCTCAGAGAGGATCTCTCTTCCCCATCTAAACCAGGACCCTCCCGGTAGATTTCTTGTCGCATCTTGTACTGCCCCTTTCGATGCAAATCAGCCACAGGTTAGTGCAGGTGGCAATGATGGGATGATATCTTCCTCACCTGGGCATATCAGCTGCCCCAGGTCAGGGATCCAGCTGACCTGCTTGCCACTGGATCAGCAGCAGCCTGAGCACAGCCTGCATACAGTAGGTGCTCTACACATGCTGTCTGAATGGGTGCCTCTCCTCGTGCCTGCTGGTGTGTGTGTGAGCCAGGGGCCCGTGGCTCTCGGTGGGGTCTAACTGCGTGTGTGTTTGGGCTGTGCATGGTCCCAGCAGGCCCACCGCGGAAGTGGAGTGCTAGGGCTGGCAAGCCTCCTGATCTGGGTGCCTGAGAACAGTGTGAGGGCGGGGGCTCCCTGCATGTTTCCCTATCGCAGCAGATACTAAAATCTGGGGGGGTCACTTAATTCCTGTCTCCCCACTAGACTGTCAACTTCCTGAGGGTCCTTTGCTCTTTTATATCCTCAACACATGGCAGAGTGCCTGGCACAGTGTGGCTTCAGTCTGTTGTTGGGTGGATGATGGATGGGTAGGTGGGTGGGTGGGTGGAGACCCCAGGTCTCTCAGCTTGTCCGAAGATTTGCCCTTGTCACAGGCATTCTCCTCTCTGCACAGGGCCTTGATTTGCAGAGGAAGCCTCTTCAAGCCCTACTGTGGGCTCTAGTTCCAAGACAGCAGGTCTACACTAGGGCTCTCAGTTTCCCATGGCTGGAGGTAGAGGGAAGGATCACTGGGCAGGGGTCTGTCCACCTACCTGGTCCAAGTCATAAAGCATCTGCAGGGGACTCCTCCTCTTCCCACCGAGCCAGCCAGAGCCCAGGCTGTTTTCAAATGCTAAGGGGCATAAGGAAAGAGGCATCAGATGGACTGGCTGTAGCCCTTGGGGGACTTGGCCAACTCCCTTGGGCACATTTGATCTACCTCTGGGACTCAATTTCCCTCTTGTATCTCATCTGCCTTGGTGGGGTGTGGGGCACTGATAGGCCCCCTAATCCACCAGGGCAGGGTCTTTGGTATTGCTCCTGCCCCCATGTCCTACCCTTCAGAGTTGGAGGACGCCAGGCAGGCAGGGATGAGAGGAAAGGTGGTACCCAGCCCACAGCCCTCTGGTAAAGATCTGACCATCCAACCTTATCCATCTCCATCTGCCTTCATTTCATGCTGCACCCCTACCAGCCCCATGTCCATGGAGCCCTCAGGGGCTCACCAAGCTGACTGGCGGTCCAGCCTCCCCAAATCCTGGGTGTGGGCAGCCAGAAAGGGCTGGGTAGCAATAGAGGTGGCACAGCCAAGCTGCAGGTTCTCCAGTAGCAGCCCACCAGGTCACATGACCTCCATGGACTCCTACAGCAGCCTGTACTTCCCTGGCCAGCGTGTATGCCGCTTCGTGGTAGATGCAGGTTTCACTGTCTCCCAGACTGGAAGACAGTGTGCAGGGATACCATCCGTCTCAGTGCTGTACTCTTCAATCTTCCTAAAATTGCCAAAAACTCTGCTTACTAAATTTATTCTTTTACTCTAAATGTGTTTTAAGGAGTATCTTCTACATATTCAATTAATGTAGTTGATTTAGGTAAGCATAGGCTCATGATCTTATGCTTCTTGGTCATACTTTTCTAAAGTATGATATTACTTATTAATAAATGAATAAAGTATAATGCAGTCTTCAAAAAGATCACCAAAATTGGCAAAACTTTAGCTAGACTGACCAAGAAGAATGAAGTCTCAAATTACTAAAAACAGGAATGAAAGGGAAACCATTAGAACTGAATCTTACAGAAATGAGAAAGGCATGAACAATTGTACAAAAGCAAATTAGATAGCCTATATAAAATGGACAAATTCCTAAAAAGATGCAAATTCCTGAAATTGACCAAAAAGAAATAGAAAACCCCAATGACATCTAACAATTATATGTATAATGTATATGTATAACAATGTAATATATAATAATATGTATAATAATGTAATGTATAATATGTATGAATACATTGAAGTAGTAATGTAAAAAAAAAAATCCCACAAAGACAAGCCCAGAATCAGATGATATTCACTAGTGAATTTTACCAAATATTTAAAGAAGAATTAACACCAATCTCTTCCAAACTCTTTACCCCCTTCAGTAAAACAAAACAGAATTGTGGGGTGGAAAATACCTTCCAACACATTATATGAGCCCAGTATTACCCTGATGCCAAAACCAGACAGAGACATCACAAGAAAAGAAAACTACAGAACATTATCTCTTATGAACATAGATGCAAAATCCTCAAAAAAAAAGCAAACTGAATATTTAAAACATATAAAAATGGTTATATATAAACATATAAAAATGGTTATATATAACCAAGTAATATATATCCCAGGAGTGCAAGAGTGGTTCAACATACAAAAATCAATCAAGGTAATACACCATATTAATAGAGTAAAAGAAAAAACCCACATAATTATCAATACATGCAGGAAAAGTGTTGCACAATATCCAATACCCTTTCATAATAAAAATACTAAACAAACTAGAACTTGAAGGGAACTTCATCAAATTGATAAAGGCCATCTAGGAGAAAACCCACAGCTAATATATTTAATGGTGAAAAACTGATGCTTTACCTCTAAGATCAGGAACAAAACAAGGGATGCCCACTTTTACCACTTCTATTCAACAATGTACTAGAAGTTCTAGCCAGGGTAATTGGGCAAGAAAAAGAAAGAAAAAGGCATCCAGATTGGAATGGAAAAAGTAAAATTATTCTATTTGTAGATGACATGAATATATATAGACTATATATAGACTATATATAGTATTTATATAGAATCCACCAACTATTAGAGCTAAGAGCTAATAAATGAGTTCAGCAAGGTCATAGAATAAAAGATCAATATTCAATAGTGAATTGTATTTGTAAGTACTAGTAATGAAAAATCCAAAATTGAAATTACAAAAACATCTCCACTTACAACAGCATAAAAATAATAAGGATTAAATTTAACAAAAGAAGTGCGAGACTTATCTCTGAAAACTACACGACATAATTGAAAGAAATTGAAGACCTGAATGAATGGAAAAATATCCCATGTTCATGGATTGGGAGATTTAATGTCATTAAGGTGGCAGTACTCCCCAGATGACACATGCAATGCAATCCCTATAAAAACCCTAGCTGCCTTTTTTGCAGAAATTGACAGTTGACAGTTGATCTTTAAATTAATCAGAAAATTCAAGGGATTGGGGAGCCTGGGTGGCTCAGTCGGTTAAGCGTCTGTCTTCAGCTCAGGTCATGATCCCAGGGTCCTGGGATGGAGCCCCGCATCGGGCTCTCTGCTCAGCAGGGAGTCTGCTTCTCCTTCTCCCTCTGCCCGCCTCTCTGCTTACTTGTGCTGTCTGTCTCTGTCAAATAAATAAATAAAATCTTTTTAAAATTTTGTTAAAAAAAGAAAATTCAAGGGATTTAGAATGTCTAAAACAATCTTGAAAAGGAACAAACTTGGAGATCTCACACTTCCTAATTTTACTACTTACTACAAAGCCACAGTAATTAAGACGATGTGGTGGTGGGATAGGAGAGACATTTTGATTGATGAAATAGAATTCACAGTTCAGAAACAAACCCTTACACTTAAGATCAACTGATTTTTTATTAGGGTTCCAGGACAATTCAATAGGGAAGGAACAGTCTTTATGATAAATTTTGCTGAGAAAATTGGATATCCACATGTAAAAGAATGAAATTATACAACTACCTCAAACCATATACAAAAACTAACTCAAAATGGATCATAGGCCTAAGTGTAAGAGCTAACAAAGACTCATAATGAAAACATAGACATATTATCTCCATGATCTTTGAGTTGGCAGTGATTTCCTAGATATGGCATCAAAAAAACAAAAGAAAAAATTGATAAACTGGACTAGATCAACATTAAAAACTTTTCTGCTTCAAAGGACACCATCAAGAAGGTGAAAAGACAACCTACCAACTTGGAGAAAATATTTTCAAACCATATATCTGATAAGGGACTAGTATCCAGAATATATAAAGAATGCCCATAACCAAATGATAAAAGACATAACCCAACTTTTCAAGTAGGCAAAGGATATGAATGGACGCTTCTCCAATAATATACAAATTGCCAATAACAGATAAAAAGATGCTCAGCCTCACTAGCTGTTAGGAAAAGTCAAATCAAAACCTCATTAAGACACAACTTCTCACCCACTAAGATGGCTATAATAAAAAAAGACAAAAACAAGTATTGGTGAGGATGTGGAGAAATTGGAACCCTTATACTTTGATGGTGGGAATGGAAAATAGAGATATTTTGCCATAGAAAACAGTTTGGCAATTCCTTAAAAGCTAAGCCTAGATGATTCTGGAAGGATGACAGACCAAGAACACCAAGAATCTGTCTCTCCACCCAGGCAACAACTGTACTAGCAGAATCTATCTGATAAATCAGATAGACCTGGAATTCTGGAGTCCATGGAAGGCTTGCAACTTCCAGGGGAAGGCTTAAATGGTAAATGGTGGTAAATTTCAGTCAGTTTCAGCTCTTTCTTAGCTCAGGGCATCTACTCACTCTCCACCCTAGCCACATGGCAGGCAGCTGTGCATCTGTTCTTGGAGCAGCTTACATACAGCGTGCAAGAGCCAGAGTGAGCAAAAAGGATCCTATTCTCCAAATATCAGAGATCTGTGCTTTGATCAGTTGTACCTCCCCACATTGTTGCAAGCCCCTCACACTCCACATAAAATGACTTCTAGGAGACTTAATGAGCTGGTTTCCTTTTCCCCACCTTTCATTTTTCTCTTTTCCCCTTTTTGGAGCCAGACATTAAATACTAAAACATTCAAAAAACTGCATAGGTGGGGAAAATTAGAAACTGACTGTGAATGCCCAGAAAGAGGCTCAGAAAAGACCTAAGAAGACCTTAAATTTATACCTTGGGCTAAACCTCAGCACAGAGACAGGCTACAACAACCAGAAAGACAAAAACAGAAACTAAAAACAGCAATCACTGAGAAAGAGAATCTGCTTTCCAGAGCTACATTATTAGATTCAAATGTCCAGTGTTCAACCAAAAATTAGAAGTCACACAAAGAAACAAGAAAAGTATGGCCCATTCAAATGAAGAAATGGTATCCACAAAAGAAATGAGAAAGGAATTTAAACATTTTACTACAAAAAATAAATTGACTAGGCACAAAAGTAGACAGTAATACAGGAAATGATGGATAAAAAAACCATAAGGCATAGAGAAGACAAATAACAAAATGACAGATGTTCCTCTTTATCAGTAATTACTTTAAATGTCAATGGATTAAACTTCCCAGTCAAAAGCAGAAATTGGCAGAATGGATAAAAATATCTGACCCGACTCTATATGCTATCTACAAGAGACTCACTTGAGATCCAGTGACACAAACTGGTTGAAAGTGAAAGGATAGAAAAAGATATTCCAAGCAAATAATAACAAAATAGAGCAAAGGTGACTATATTAATATCAGACAAAATAGACTTTGAATCAAAAAAGTTAACAAGAGATAAAGAAGGACGTCGTATATAAATAAAAGTTTCAAAACAGGAAGAAGATAGAACAATTATAAACATTAACTTATCATCAAAGTATATGAAACAAAAATTGACAGAATAGGAGGGAGAAATAGACAGCTCTACAATAATAGTGGAGATTTCAATACACCACTCATAATAATGAACTGAGCAACCAGAGAGAAGATGAGGAGGGAAACAGGGGACTTACATATCACAATAAACCAACTAGATCTAATAGACACATACAAAACACTCTATCCAACAACAACAGCATACACATT